AGGATCGAAATTGGCACTGCAATTAAGGAAGCCATAGTGGAGTGACCTTTTTGGCAATGTGGGAATTTCAAAGAATTCGAGTTTGATATCCCCAGTTCCCGCACGATCAGCGTTTTAGAGGGGTGGAAAGGTTCTTGGTAACATTGGTGCAGACTAACCTAGTATTGTTCTGACTTCCGGAAAATGCCCAGCTTTCTCAGAACCGTTTTTTGCATGATATAGAGGTACGTGCATGGAACACAGAACTGTGGTTCATTTTTCCTGAGCGACCCTCTGAATACCAAAAAAGGAGCGAAGAAAAATTTCTTAAGAAACTGCCGTTCTTAACTTTCTTCACCAGTTTTTAGCCAAAGTCTACGTATAAAGGTTGCTGATGGTCCTAATTATAGATATGACATATTGTTTACGCTGACGCTATTTTTCGCGAATTTTGAAACGCCAACACAAAATGCAAAAAATTGTCACTGCGAGGATTCGAACCACGGACCACTTCATCACCCCTTTTTTGGTATTCAGAGGGCCGCTCAGGAAAAATGAACTACAGTTCTGTGTTCCATGCAGTACCCCTATATCATGCAAAAAACCGTTTCGAGAAAGCTGGGCATTTCCTGAAAGACCTTCCTCGTGAGAGGAAGTCGTAAGTAGACCTGTTTCAGTGAGAAGAGTTGCTCAACTCTCGACATTAACCCAGCGCAAAAAGTGACCGTGGGCACATTCCAGAAAGCGGCTAGCCACTACAACACCTTCATTCCCTGTTTTTTTCTTCATGTTCTCGTCCTCATTGGGATATATCCGACACGCGAGTCCCATGCTCGGCCATCAAACACGATGTTGTTGTAAACAGGACCAATTTAATCAAAACAGAATGGTGTAGCGGGCTTGGCGTGAGCTGTCATGATCTTCCCGTACCAAATGCATTCGATTGTTTCCTTCGAATTGCGAATAATCAACAAATGCATGGGGTATCTCGCAATTTTAAGACCATTGTTATTAATTCAGATCCCTACGTGAAAATCTACCTCTATCATGGACGAAAATTGTTGAGCAAGAAGAAGACGTCTCGCAAGTATCGCACTCTGAATCCGTACTACAATGAGAGCTTTCAGTTCAAAATAGAGCCAATGATGATGGAGGTGAGCAGTTTTTGGAAGTTAGCTTGTAGCTCTTGAACTCTAATCTTACATTCTGACTTATGCACTAACCTAGTGGGTAGGGTGGATGTGATAGCCGCCACGAGCCTAAAAATCGATATCATACGTCAATGTTCGTAATGACATCTGATGCCACGGGACTGGATGAGTGTCTGTAGGCATGAAAGCACGGCAGCGGGAACAAAAGGAAAGGAAAACTTGGACTTGATATTTCTGGTGTCTACTTGAAGAAGATTCCACGATATAACTGAAGACCGAAAAAGGCGAAAAACCTGGAAAGGCGAACAGGCGGTGTGAGAAAATGGTGTTTCGCAGCGAAGGGCCTGCCCCAGCACCCTAGCGGAGCCGTGTCTGCGCCGTTTGCGCCAACCTCCACCAACCTACAGGTAACCCCTCACCGTGTGCTTAGTTGCTCAGCGGAGTGCTTATTTTTGATGAGGCCAACACCAACGAGACTCCTTGAACGCGGAAATAAGCGGGGAGAACAAGGATCCAGTTTTAAGTTCTAGGCTAATTTTCTTATCCTTCTTCATCACCTCTGACCAATTCTACCTTAATTTTTGACGGCCCGCCTTTTCATCGTAAACTCCCACTCTGAACAGGATGAATGTGAGCGAGTCTTCTTTCGAAAGCTGAAAGTAAGGGTGTGTGGCTGGAGTTGGTAAAGCAAAGGAAAGAAGGCACCGCGGCTTCGCGTCAGAGGTTGAACGTTCAGCTTATTCAGCTCCTACAACAACGTACATACCACGAAGTACAGTGGATGACAGCACTTATCAGAAGGGCATCAAACATTCATCCATATTCACTACTG